TCCTCTTCTTCTTCTTCTTCTTCTTCTTCTTCTTCTTCTTCTTCTTCTTCTTCTTCTTCTTCTTCTTCTTCTTCTTCTTCTTCTTTTCTTCTTCTTCTTCTTCTTCTTCTTCTTCTTCTTCTTCTTCTTCTTCTTCTTCTTCTTCTTTTCTTCTTCTTCTTCTTCTTCTTCTTCTTCTTCCTTTTTTGCAGAACTGGGGATTGAACTCAGGCCCTTGCACTTGCCATCTCCCTGACCCTTTCCTCCTTCTTTTGTGAATTTAGTTTGTGATGTTAGTGAGAAAATGGAGGTGAAGAGGCTGAGATTAAGACAAACATACAAATGACTAGAGTTCAGGATAGTATGAGGTGCACAGTGCTGTGTGCAGAAGAGAAGACTGATTTGGGGATTTAAGAACCAGTTTTGAACTAAGGTGCTTTTGTGATTGATGTCCTTGAAGGGAAGAAGGAAAAAATTTTATAGATTCAGATGGGCTGCTCCCAGTAAGGAGAAAATAGTCATAAAGCAAGTGGTACAATTTTTTTAAATTTTTTCTTTCTTTCTTTCTTTTTTTTTTGTGGAATTGGGGATTGAACTCAGGCCCTTGTGCTTGCCAGGGAAGCGCTTATTCCACTGAGCCATCTCCCTGGCCCCTCAAATGGTACAATTTTAATTGGTAAAACCTAAATCCTTAGAGGCTTAAGTGAGTGCAAAATAAAATAATACAAGTGAAACTGTTTTGAGAAACATGTCACATATGGGATTAGTTGTCACTGTGATGATATAAATTACATATTGATAATGTCAAAGACCATTTTCTCAATAGCCACTTCAAGGAATTTTTGTGTTCTTTGTCCCTCAACATTCCTGAAGTCATCAAACACAGATGATTTATTTAGAGTCCCTTTTGAGTGAAAGAGATACATGCATTTCAATACCCTTCTGGTGCTCTTTTGAGATTAAGATGGTTGTTTTGTTTTAAATAAAGCTTCTATGAAACATCCCACTTGTTGGTGTAGTTTCATGAAAGTTGCCCAATTTTCGCAACCTTGCACAGTAGGAATTACCACTACCTTCAGTTTAGAAGTGAGAAAACAGAGGGGATATTAAGTGATAGGCACAGAACCATACAGCTAACAAGGAGCAGAATCATAATCTGATCTCAGACCCACTGGAGCCAGCCAGGTACTCTCAACTCATGGGATTTGGCATTTCTGAAAAATCTGTGTATTGAAGACAGTGAGATTTCAGAATATATTAGTTTATAGAAAATCCTCAACAGGACACAATCTCAGGCTAGCTTAAGGTTTTACTAGATATGTTGGATTAGAGGAAAATGTACAGTTTTTAAAAAGAAAGCAAACCCTCATTGGATTTCTGATGTATTTATAAAGGGGAGATAAGTGCACCTCTTTCACAAGAATATTGTGAAAATGAAGTGAAAGCACTAACAGAAGGTTTCTAGCCTCATGGCAGGTACCCAGAAGGCACTCAACACATGAGGCTCTTTCCTCCTTTCCCAGTACATCACAAGAATGCTGTAGAAAAACAAAGCAAAAATACATGGGATGTGGAGTTTAAGAAAAAGGAGAGGTTGGGTACAGCAGAATGCTCCTGTGATCCAGGTACTTTGGGATGCTCAGACAGGTGAGTCTCAATTTCTAGCCCAGTCTGTGTGATTTTGCAATTTAGCAAGACCCTGTCTCAAAAGAAAAACATTAAAAATAGGATTTTCGATGTAGTGTAATAAGAAAACGCTTGCTTCAATTCCTACTACTACAGATGAAAAAGAAAAAGAGAAAAAGGGAAGAAAAGAAGAGCTCTGATTTCAGGGATAAAGAGAGTTCTGACCAGGGATCATGGGGGAGGGAGCTGACTTGACTCTTCTTAGAATAAACAGACGGTGATGCTCATAATGTTGGTGTTCATCCGCACCCTTGTCTGGACCACCACCACCCTGGACGCGATAAACATGTTAGAACTGTGACTCTGCCCAGTCTTCATTTTCTGGACAACTTATAAATATTTTTTCCTTCGTAATTGAGTTTTATTGAGAAGGGACAGGAGGGGCTGTATTGTCAGACAAATCCTGCAGGGGACACTACATCAGTGGCTCCTATTTACTGAACATGTTTTAAACACTGGTCTGGGTGTTTTTAATGCACTAATTTTGCCTGTAAACCTATTACAACCATAAAGAATGCTTTTATTTCAATTTTACATATGAGGAAACAGAGCCAAAAGGATTCAATAACTAGTGGCAGAGGTAGGACTTAAACCCAGGACTTTTTTGTTTTTCCTTATAGTGCTGTTGATGAATTCAGGGCTTTGTTCCTACATGCTAGGCAAGGATTCTACCACTGA